TTGCACACTCTGGTTGCACACTGTGCTTGAACGCTAGTGTTGCACACCTGGCTGCACCTCCCAGCTGCAGGTCTGGAATTGCCCTTTCCTCCCCCCCAGCCAGAAACACACACTTTCTGCACCCTGTTTTGCTGCAGGTTGTGTTTTTCACCTTGTTTTCCCCCCTCCCCAAGATCTGAGCAGCAGTGATGCCCAGCCCCTCTGGCTGCTCCTGGGAGGGGGTTGCTGGAGGCACTGGGGCTGCAGCCGTGGTGGGACCACTGGTATGGGGGAACAGGCCCCCCACCAGCACTGTCCAGCCCAGCTGCTCCGGATCAAGGAGGAAGTGGGACATCACTGCCTGCACACGGATGTGCTGCTGAGGCTGAAGGAAACCACGGAAACCCCACGGAGAGCTCGGGGCCATCAGGTGTTTTGGACACAAGGGCAGCAAAGCAGAGCCAAGACCTTGTCCCCTGAGGAAAGGAGGAAAACAGACCCAGTGCCTGCACCTGACCTGGGAATTCCCAGCCCAAGATGGAGGGAAAACTGAAGGGATTTGGGTTAGTTTTGCACCGTAGCTGCCGTGGAAGCGTTTCTGCTGAGAAGGAGAAGTGAAAGGAGGGAGGGTTTCAGCGCAGAGCAACGTGCTGAAGCAGTTCCTGGCAGAACTGGGTCATCACAGGGAAGGGAATGAAGCAAGAGAAGGGAACAGAGCAAGGGAAGGGAGTGAGGAAGAGAAGGGAATGAAGCAAGGGAAGACTGGCATAGGGGAGGGGGCCAGGGCAGAGCTTCCCACTCTGGCCCTGCACCCAGGCATGCCCTGAACCCCCCCAGGCCTGGTGGTTCACCTGCAGCTTCAGCTCTCTGCTGTCTCTCCTCGCTGGCCACTTTCTTCACCCTGAACTGTGAATGATTTCCCAGCCCAATAACCCGTTTCCCATCTGTGCACATTCCTGGGAGCCACAGCCAGGCACAGCTGGGCACAGCTGGATGCAGCTGCCACAGCAAAGGCAACGGGTAAAGGACGCCCAGGGATGGAATCACTGGAAAAGAGAAACTGGAAGCAGCAACACCACCGAGGTTTTTCCCATCAGTGATTAAAACCCCAGCAAGGTGCTTCCATTCCAGGAGAGCTGTGGAGACCCCTGCAGTCCCACGGGAGGGTCTCCACCCATGCCAAGGGTGGCCCAGGGCTGTCCCCTCCTGCCAGCAGGATGTTTTTTTTACTGGAAAGTCGGTTGTTTTGGGTCAGGCTGGGACATGAAAGTGCCCCCCAAGCCACCCTGGGCGCAGGCTGTGCTGCGGGGCCATCGCCTTCCTGTCTGCTCAGCCTTCCTGTCGCCACCGGCACCGCTCCGGAAGGCCAAGGTCTGGCAGCCAGCACCATGGAGAGGGTGGCCAAGCCCTCTGGCCACAGAAAGCCTCTCCTCTCCCCGTTGGTAGGACAAGGGCTCCAAGACCCCACTGGGTTTTGGCCAAAGGAGGGTTGGGTTTTCTCACTCCCCACCTTCACCAGCGCTCGAGACGCTGCCCGTGACAAAAAGCAGGAGCAGCAGGGCAGGGTCATGCTTTCATTTATTCACTTCATATAAAAATCTCTTAAGAATGCATCTGAACACAATATATAATACTATAACATACATTGTGTGAAACTTTTTGGAAACAATAAAATAACCACCTGGAACAACGCGGTGTTCAACAGACATACAAACCCATTGATCATGCACAACTGTGCTATTTTCATGAACTAGTTAAGTCACGAGTTGGACCAGAAGCTTGAAACATTATTTTACAAACTGAGATTGACACGGCTCACGATGCCGGACAAGCTTTGTCAGAAGAAGTTTCACAGCACAATTATTACATCAGTTCACATTTTTCTTTTTTTCTTGTTTTTTTTTTATCATAGAAATTCACATTGGGTTGCTCAGAAATTGGAACGTGACATTTAAAAGCCGGCCCGTTCGTGGGGGGAGGGGAGGGGTGGGGTGTGTGTGTGTCATTTTTGGGGGGTTCCCACCCTCCCACACACCTGGAGGTTTTACAGCCTCCAACTTCCAACCCCTCACCTGGGGGGTCTGGTTCCCCATGGAGATGACCCCCCCACCCCCCACGGGTGGCTGCCACCCAAATGCCCTTCCTGGGTTGCGTCTGTCTCTTCAGCTATGTTCAGGTTCTTGTATTTTATGCCATACAAAAGGTTACAAGAAACCAAACCAAAACAACAACCAAAAAAAAAGAAAAGAAAAAAAAAAGGCAACTCTTAATCCCGAGTTTTCTACACAATTAGCGTCGCCGCCGACAGGCAAGGCTAATTCATATAAATTAATAACTTACAAAACATTACAGTATATACATGACGTAATAAATACACTGTTATAAACAGTAATGGAGGTGTTAGAGCTCAAGGCAGTGCAGGAGGAGGACGGTGGAGCTAAAACCTAAGAGAGGTGACCGGTGGGGCAGGAGAAACACAAAGACGTGCAACGTCCACCGAGCCGAGGAGCTGCCGAGGGGGACGGGGCGTCACGCGCTGCCCGAGCGGGCTGGACACACGTGTGCTGGGCCGTGGAAACAAACCCCCTCTGTCCTGCACACACCAAAACCACAACCCCGCCGAGGAGGCAACACCCTGAGGCCCAGCGAGCCAGCAGAGATGGTGCACGATGGTGCACGAAGTGACTTCAAACGGGTCGCCTGGGGCGTTAAGGAGACCACTAAAGGTGCAGGGATGCAAAACAGAGGGGTTTCCCTTCCACTTAAGTCTGTAAAAGTGATTAAACTGCAATAAAGTGACAGGTATTGCCCGTGAAAAAAAGGAAGACTGCTGCTTGTAACAGGAAGAATCAAAAAAGTATCGGTCAATTTTTGAAACACTTTGTGTCGCTTTGTATCCTAAACTCCGTGTGGTTAATTAACAGACTCTTGAAAAGACATGAAAGTGTTTACAAAGAAGGCACACAGGTCTGCAGACAGGTGGTCAGGTGGACAGGTTTTATATGGAGAGTTATTAATCAGTAGTTTCTATCGGTCTAACTGGTATAAATTCCAAAACTAACGGTATAAAATCTCTCAGTTGTGTGTCATTTACTCTTCAGTCACGACCCAAGCCAGCTCCAGGACAACACGATGCTCTTGGCTGACAAGGCTTAAACCACAACGTCAATCACCTGTTAATTTCCTGAGCAATCATTCACTACACGATCTTTAACCCTGACTCCAATCTCAAGTAGCTGGGAAGATCTTTCAGCCAGTGTCAGACACAGGCCTGGGACCCAGGCTGCAGGCCAGTCCGTCAGACTGCTTGCATGCTCGTTAAGCGTTTCAAATCCACTCACACGGGTACAGGACATTATGTGTCGACAGGGGACGTGTCCTCTGTCACAATTTCTATGTTGGCCTCCCTCTGTGAATCCTCCTCCCCTGGGTCAGCCACGCAGAGTGTCTTTGTATTGCTGAAGTAGCCGATGCTCTCGCCGTCCTTCTCCGGCCCGTCCGAATCCTCCTCCTCCAGCGTCAGTTCAAACTGGAACTTCTCCATCATGTTCTGGCAGTCCCTGCCCTGCTCCTCCAGGGGAGGAGAGGGGCTCTGAGGTATCATGCTCTGGTACCAGTTCCTGTTGTCCTCCAGCGTGTCCAGGATGTCCTGGGCATCGGGCTGCACCAGGTCAGCCCACGTCTCCCAGAGCGGATGGACGATGTAGTCAATGAATCCCACCTGAAAGACACAAAGGAACGTGCACACTTAGGGGGAGGGAATGGCTAGGAGCAGATGGGTGGCTACATTCAAGTTCCAATTCTGCTAATTTATGAGTTTTACAAGCAAAATTCCCACCCCATAGCAAGTCCCCAGACCAGCACATTTTAACTGCAGACCCAAGGCTGCACCTACAGCGTTGGACTCGGTTGATGTCTTGTCCAAAATCAGATTTTGGATGATCAAACTAAAGAATCAAATGTTCAAACTAAAAAAAATCAAACTAAAAGCTGGAATCACTTGGAAACTCAGTGACAAGAGCTGCCAATCCCATCCCTGTCTGCAGCTGGGGATGTCTGCTGCTGACAGCAGCTCAATCCCTGCCCTGCAGAAGTTGGGGGAAGGGATTCCTCTGAAGACAGAACACAGATTCACAGAATGGTGAAGGTTAGAAGGGACCTTAAAGATCATCAAGTTTCAACTCCCTGCCATGAGCAGGAGACCACTAGCCCAGGCTGCACAAACCTCATCCAACCTGGCCTTGAACACCTCCAGGGAGGGGACATCCAGAATCTCCCTGTGCAAACTGTTCCAGTGCCTTCCTGCCCTCACGGGAAAGAATTTCTTCCTGACATCTGACCTAAATCTCCTCAAATGGTTTAAAGCCATTGCTCCTTGTCCTTTCTTTGCAAGCCCTTGTACAAAGCCCCTCCCCAGCTTTCCTGGAGCCCCTTCAGGCACCGAAAGGTCTCCTTGGAGCCTTCTCCTGCAGGTTGAACAGCCCCAACTCTGTCAGCCTGTCTCCAGAGCAGAGGGATGCATTTTCCCAGCTGTCAGTGCAGAGAGGTGTTTCAGATGACCGTTGCCTCTATCTAAGGTGTTGGCAATGTTTGCTGTCTCTCAGACAGGATTCTCTGGTGACTGTGGACCAGGCTGGTGCATTCATGGCAACGCTGCCCTTACCCCGGGCTCTTGGTGGGGTGGGCAGCTGTGAAAACACCAGCACCCCGAAGGGCAAGCAGCCATCCCAACACCAACCACCACTGCTTTTATGGACTGATGTCTGACCCTTGGGTGGCTCCTGCTGTAGTGTGTAGCTCTGCACTGAGCTGGTTTGTGGTGCTGCAGCTTCGGACACGGCAGCGTTTCTCCTCTGCTCCCCCCGAGCAGCCACAGCCTTCCCTTCCTTTTGGAAAGGGTGCAGAAAGCAGGTCGGCTCATCCAAAAAAAAAACAAAGAGTGCTGCTCCTCCCTCACGGGGGAGGACAGATCACGGCTGCCTGGCTCCCACGGAGTGATGTGCCAGGGGTGAAAAGAGTGAGGGGCTGGAGCCCAGTCCGTCAGCCCTTCCGCCGGCCGGTGCGTAAACTCTGAGCGAAAGGCTTTTTCAATTGTCTGACTCAGAGGACGGACGTCCAGGATGGAGAAACCTGAATGGCCATAAAGAGGATTGAAATTCTTCCGTCTTGGCAGAACGTGTCACTTCTCTCCTCGCCCTGCTGGACAGCATTTCTGTGCAGCAGGAAAATGGCTCTCAAAGGGGCCAGGCTCAACGCGCAGATGTTTGCCTTGGAAATCACACATGGCTCCTTCAGACACAACAGGATGTCAATAGAACCATTAACATTCAATTGTAACATACTGGGGAGGCAGCTTCAACAAAAAGGTGATGAAAATTTCCTGCAGCACATGTTCCGGAGCACTTTTCAAGGGGAAAAAAAAAGAGGAACATAGCTCTGTATGGTGACTTCATCACCACCCCAAATGCTCAAGGGCAGCAGCGACGGCTACAGATGGGTCCCTCTGTCACCAGGTCCTTGCTGCTTTTACCCAACATCCCAAATCTTGGAACAGATGGCTGAGCACTGATCTTAAAATATTTTGATGCAGAGGCACCATCTTCAGCTTTGAAATCCTTGCCTGCTATTCTGCCATTGACTCCTGGTTTCACCCCAGAATGGCTATGTCACCTCCCTTCCTCCTTAGCCAATAGCTGGGAATCTCATGGCACCTATTTTGTGCAATTCCAGTTCTTTGGGCATAGCAAAAATTTTGAAACCTGTGGTGTGCATACGTGGAACAAAAAAAATTAATTGGAGCTCACATGTGGAGCACATGGGCATTATCTGGCCAAGCCTGGCCAAAGGATTCATTTCTTGTTAGGTTAACAAATAAGACAGATTTTTCCAACAAAATTACCACGCGGTTGACTGAATAATTTTGAAACCACTTGGCTTAGCCCAAGAGGACATTTGGAAACAATTATCATCATTTTTGTTACTTATTCAAGCTGAAAAACCCTGATGATGACTTGCTCGAGTCATTTAAAAACAACAACCAAGACACCATTATACAAAGGCTGGAGTATGTTTAGGGAACATAAATTACCAGCTTCATTACAGACTAAGCGGGTGAAATTTTACAGCCTGTGCTACATGGGTCAGCACAAAGTCTGACCTTGGAACCTCTTCATCTGGGAATCAGAGCTAGGGATGAGCCAGGTAATCTCAAAAGAAACCCAAACAAGCCCAAAACAAACCACTCAAAAAAGAAACCCTACCAAACAAGCAAACAAATAACAACAAGCCCTGAACAAAAACCATATCCTGCTCCTTTTAAGGCTTGTATTGACCTAAATAACATAAATATTTCTTTGACTTCACCCAGGACATCTCCATCAGACCTCTAACTTAACTGGCCAGGTCAAGCTCTGCAAAACTGTTCTGCATGAGGCTGAATATCAACTGACATCCAGACTTCTCCAGTGTCCTGCAGTGGATCTCAGCTGGGAGAAGCTCCTAACCCTGCAGGACAAAGGGGCTGGCACTGCTATGAAACACAGAATCTCAGACTGGTTTGGGTTGGAAGGGACCTTCAAGATCATCTAGTTCCACCCCCCTGCATGGGCAGGGACACCTCCCACCAGCCCAGGCTGCTCCAAGCCCCATCCAACCTGCCCTTCAACACTGCCAGGGATGGGGCAGCCACAGCTTCCCTGGGCACCCTGGGACAGGGGCTCACCTCACAGCAAAGCATTTCCTCCTGATGTCTAACGTAAAGGTACCTTCCCAAATGTAGTATATGGGGAGGTTTAGGAGATGCTAATTAAGGAGGCTGGAGGGTGTGAAAGCAGGAGAGACCTGGCAGAAGGAAGGGGAGATCAGAATCCCACGTTTCAAGCCTGGGGAACAAAGGAAACCGACCCACTCTGGAAACTGGGACACAAACAGGGCAAGATGAAGATGTATTTGGAAAGGAGGAGATGCCAGGGGGTACATAAAGGAATGGCAACAGCCTCGCCAGCCTATATGAGCTCCAGGCCCAGCTGGATGTCAGGGTCAATCACCACCAGCCCTCTGAACTGCTGGCTGTTTGCCTAATTGTGCTAGAGAAAGCAGATGCATTTTGTCTCTGCTTTGAAAGCGCAGGCTGAGGCAGGACAGGAATGCAGCTGACAGCCCAAGTTACCTGGGATTTTTCCACTGACGCCGTGTGCTTGTCGCACATGGGGCTGATTTCCATGCCCCTTTCCCTCTCCTTGTCTCCCTGCTGGAAGAACTCCTCCATGATCCTGTCCGTCCACTGCCGGTACAGCTCCAGAGACTTGGTGGGGTTGCTCAAGTCGGCGCAATGTACCATGTTCCTGAGAACCTGCAATTACATCCACCAGAAAAGTCATAAAATCGAATGGGGGAAAAAAACCCCACGACAAAATACAAGAAGAGGACGGGTTCAAGCTGTATCTGCTTGCTTTAAGTCAGAACATTTAACCACAAGACTCTTGGGTTATGCAACAGCCTATAAAACGATTGCCATCCCAACAGCTCCAGACGCAAGGGGAGCTGCTCTGCTCTGCTCTGCTCTGCTCCCAGAGCCAAACCTGCTCCCTGTTGTTCAGGCAGCTCGATCCTGACACAGGGTGCAGTCGTGGCAATGCTCGTTACATCATGTAGGTTTGTTTTGGAGTGCAGGTGCTTCCCACCATTCAAAACTTCCAGGCTCTCAGATGATTAAATACCCCTCCTCCATGAAATGAGTAACATCCCTTCTCCAAGCACCGGGAACGAGCCTGACCAACTGTCTGAGCACCAGCAGGTCTCCAATAAAAACCTCAGGAGAGGTGTTTCCCAGGAGTTTGCTCCCTAGAAGCTGGCCAACAAAGTGGAGGAAAGATCAGGATGTCTCTTGTCCTCCTGACTGCATCACCCTGTTCCAGCATTGCTCTGTCATTGCTGTAACTCACGGATTAGGGAACAGACTGTGCATCACTCACTTCAGCTCAGCATGAGAGCTGCTTTAGGTATGGAGTTACAAATTCAATTCTCATCGTGTTCCAGCAACCTTGCCACGTTTTTTTTTGGACAGGAGAAACACATGGGGGAAAAGCAGCAGAGAAATTCAGGAGCCCTCAAAAAGCTCAGCCCCATAGATCAGCTTCAGAAGAACGTGCATGTTTGCAGTTCCATGCTCTAAATGTTCAAAACATCATCCCCCTTTACTGAAAAGATATGGGATCTCCCTGTAGCTCTTTATGGTGGAGAACAGAAGAAAATACTGAAAATTTAGGTCAGTAGCTTCTATATATGGCCCATTTAAAAGCCTGAAAACAGGAGGATGGTTTCTTCGATCCTGAACCAAATACACGAGCCCCAGGAAGCTGGGCTGTCATACCTGTATTCTGTCTGTGTAGTTGTCCAGAAGGAGGACTCCTGAACTGGTCACTTTCTTAGTTTCCACCATGGTCTTCAGATCAGCTAACAGGCTCATATGCTTGGACATATCCGTTGCCAAGACCTTTAGGAAAGTGGAAACAGGACCTCAGTATAGGCAGCCATACAAAGAATCCCTGACTGGTTTGGGTTGGAAGGGACCTTCAAGATCATCCAGTTCCAACCTCCCTGCATGGGCAGGGACACCTCCCAGCAGCCCAGGCTGCTCCAAGCCCCATCCAACCTGCCCTTCAACACTGCCAGGGATGGGGCAGCCACAGCTTCCCTGGGCAACCTGGGCCAGGGTCTCACCCCCCTCACAGCAAATAATTTCTTCCTAATGCCCCACCTAAAGTTTTCTGTGCTAGAGGAGGTGTGTGCACAGCTCATACCATGTCAATCACCATCTTCCTGAGTGTCTGACGCTGCTTCTTGGTCAGGTTCTGGAAGATGTCACAGTGCTCCTCCTGAAGCAGTTTGAAGCCCACAGCAAGGTGGTGGTTCTCCAAGACAGACTCATCGTTGTACATCAGGGCCAGCTCAGAATCTAGGAAATGAACACAAACACGTGGCTGATTCCACACAGCAAACACTTGCCCAGGGTACTGAAATGTTTGTCTGTGGCAAGAAATGGGGAGAAGGTTTCCTTTTTGGCTTCATCTGGGCCACAAGTGTGTGGTTTCCTCAGCTGAGCACATATATCTGTAATCTAAACAGCCCTTTGCTCCCTTCCAATCAACAAAATAGCACTTGGTTGACTTAGTTACAGGCTTCAGAATCACTGACAACAGAAAGCATGAGTCCTGCAAACACACTTTCCACAACAGAATAATGCCCATCTTTTGGAATCAAGATCTGCCTGTTGCAGAACACAATGTCAACCACAATATTTAACTTCATGGTTGTCAATAGCAATAGCATAATTTATCTTACACATTGATGATAAAATTTGCACTCAGGACTAGAAGAATTATTATGTGTTAGCAAGTAGTAATAGTCACAAGATTCAAGGGCAGTTTGCAAATTGTACCACAATAGCTTTCTTTGTTAGGAATTTCAATTTAATTACTGCTTTATTCCAAGACATCTAACTGGTTTGCTGCACAGTGTTTTTGAGAAAGCAGTGCAGTCTGCAAGTCATAATCTGTGACCTCCCTGTAATGGAAAATGCATTTTCAATAGCTTCCAAAATTACAGAAGTAGTTGTTGCTGCACTGGAAACAAAACTCACTTGTATTAATAAGAAATTGATTGGAGACCCCCGGGTGATCCACATCATGAATGGCAGCTGCAAAAATTGCAGCAAGGATTTCCAAATCAGTGAAGACAGCCTAGAAGGAAAAAAAAGAATTGGTCAGACAAGTCCTGATGCTTTCTGTCTCTCAACAGTTTGGGAAGCTGATTTTGAAAAACAAATTGTACTTTTTCGTTTCCTGAGGACAAGGCTCCTACACAGCAGAAATGTCTGCAAGCAGCAAGTGCTCTTAAAGCTGAAGCAGAGACTCCAGGCAGAGCTGCTGCTGCAGTCTGTTAACAGTGACTTCCCTGGCAGTAAGGTGAGCCCTCAGAAGAGCAGGCAGCTCCCTGCTTTCTGCAGGTCTGAGTGCTGCTGGTGACTGACTCAGCTTAAGCTTCTTCTCCTGTGTTGACCCAGGCAAGGTGGTGCTTTTAAGCCACCTTCTCACCTCGGGAAACGACCATTGCCCAGCTCAAAGCACTTAGCTCAATCTAAGGCAACTCACATCCAGTGCAGGGGTAGAGAGCAGAACGTGGGTGGACTGGGCAACGTCAGCAGCATGGAGGCTGTTGTGGTAAGCCACGTCCGAGTGGTAATGGTCTTCCAGGGTCATCATGTACGTTACAAAAGTGTCTGAGGAGATCTTGAAGGTTTTCAGCAGATCTCGCTCCTGCGCAACAAACAAAAGCAGGTATCAAGTCAGGATGTCCTACTGCAGGAGGTGACCAAGCCACAAAAGCAATGAGAAACCCAGCCAGTGCTGCAAGAGAGCAGCAAAGTCCAGGAGAAGCTCACCAACCTGGAATATCGCGTACATGATGCAGGTGAGCGGCCGGTTGTGCGAGTACCTCGCAACGTTGAAGATGTTAAGACCCCACTTGTTCAGATCTTCCAGTTCCTTTTGAAAGGACAGAGAGAAGAACAGTTACAACACTTTCCTAGACAGCCCTGCATTTGCTGCTGCCCCAACGCCTCCTGCATTTTGCCCAAGTTTTAAAATATGCAAAGTGAATCTTTGTTGCGGTCATTGTGTGTGTGCAGGGACACACAGTAATTAATGAAGTAACACGGAGTTACTGTGAAGGGCTGATGCCAAGCACTGGTACAAGGAGATGACATTTCTCTGTGTGCCAGGGGAATTACTTAAGATGTGTGTTTCCAGGTAGCCAGAAGAAATGCCCTGACAGAGACAAAGGTCCCACAGCCAGTTTGCTGGACACAGCCCTGTTACACATTCCTGTGTTTGATGATTGCTCTCCTCAGAATCATGGAATGGTTTGGGTTGGAAGAGACATTAAAGCTCATCTAGTTCCTCCCCCTCTGCATGGGCAGGGACCCCTCCCACCAGCCCAGGCTGCTCCAAGCCCCATCCAACCTGCCCTTCAACACTGCCAGGGATGGGGCAGCCACAGCTTCCCTGGGCAAATCTGTTTCAGGGTCTCACCACCCTCACAGCAAAGAATTTCTCCCTCATATCTCATCTCAATCTCCCCTCTTCCCCCTTGTCCTCTCCCTCCCTGCCCTTGTCCCAAGTCCCTCCCCAGCTTTCCTGGAGCCCCTTCAGGCACTGGAAGCTGCTCTAAGGTCTCCCTGGAGCCTTCTCTTCTCCAGGCTGAACCCCCCAACTCTCCCAGCCTGTCTCAGCCCTTCATCACTTTTTTTCAAATCATTTTAGGGATATTTTCAATCAATTTATGAACACAGAATATGCTGTTAGGGCCTGGTACCTTTAATTACAGCATTTGTAATGGCCACATCCCTTCAGAAACACTGAACTGCAAGAATCTGTCATACCTTGGCCAGATGGTCTTCCTTTTCTGTTTTCACACCAAATCGTGAAATGCTGGTGTTATTTAAGCTTGAACTGTGCATTAATTTCTTCACTCCACTGATCTGTGTCATGAGCTGCTGTTTTTTCTTCTTCTCTCTGTCTTTCTGGGTGGGAGAAGGAATCTCCACATCATTCTGCTTGTCTGTAACAAATAAAGGTGGAACGACTCAGCACAGTTTGTCATTGCAAAGCACCCACCACACTCCCCAGAAAAAGCCCTTCAAGCCCATGTGTTTCTGCTGGGACCTTCTCTACTTTTGGGGTCAATCTGAACCAAAATGGAAGCAGTCACACAACCTCTGCTTGCCCTCTGCAAGACTGAACCTTTCCCCTGAGCCCTGCTGGGACAGTGAAGCCCCAGCCTTGCTTTCATCAAGCTGCATCTCTTGGGGACACAGCACATGTCCAGGACATGCTCTCCATGCCTGAAGGACACCAGGTCCTGCTCAATTAATTTGTATTACCTGTTTCAGGAAGATGAAATATATACTCAAACAACACTTTTTTTTCCTCAATAAAGTACATAAGCATTTATTTTCACATTCATTCTATTGACACTTTTTAGGGTCAAACCCATCTCCATACCCCCTTGCTCTTGAAACACCAACCCAAACCCAAACTGGTGTCACTGATTGATGAGATTTGCCCTTTACAAACACGCACAGAATAGCACACAATGCACAGGCCACACTTCTATGGTCATGCCCAATGACAGTAACAATGTGAGTGCACACTAAGCAGGCACCTAGTGGGGCACAAGTTTGGCTGTGGAGATGTGTTTGATGAATAAATCTACTCACTGCCTTTACAACTGATTTCTTTGCTGCATTAAAATGGGAGACAGAGTGGCTCATCACTTTCTTCCTAAACCATTTTTTCATGACCTTTTAGACAAGGCTGCTATAATCTCTTGGCACCTTGGCAAGTCTGAGCACCTCTGGAGGGACGAGGCATCCAGGCATTAGCTACTTTTGCCTTGGCTTAATTAAAAATCCCTGGAATAAGAACTACCCGTGTGTCTGCAACCCTGCAATTAAGAAGGAAGCCATTATTCACAGCACCAGTCCAGCTGACAGCAGTGGGTGTTTCCCTTGTGTGTTTTTGCTGCACAACAGAAGGACTTTCCCCTGTATAATCTCCTTAGCAATGACTAACACCAAGGCAGTGCAAAATGGACACTCTGGAACAGAAACATTTGCTAAATCACATCCCCACAGTGGTGGAAGCAGCAACATCCTCAGGCTCTGAGGAAAGGGCCTGTGCTGAAAGGCTACCACGACCTTCCCCACTGATGGGATGTGGCCACTGACAAAGCCACTGGTTCTCATCTCTGTCCTTCACAGGGAGCTGGAGCTGGTGACCTTGCCCTCACAGAGCACACGGTGACTGCAGAGGACACGGCTTCTTGGTGCCCCTCTCAGCTCTTTAAATAAAGGCAAGAGACTGAATGAAGTCACACAATCTGGTTTTAATATCTCTTAAGTTACCCCCATCTAACAAACACTGTTTGCAGACAAATTAATCTCTTTTTTAATTTCTTTTTTTGGCTGTTCACAGCCCTCAGCTGCCCACCCCTGTTATGTTGTGTCTTCATTTCATTTTAAGCCAAATTTTTATTTTTTTTTTTGGAGGGGGAAAGTAATTAAATAAAATGAAACAGCATGACTTCCTAAAAAAATAAATAAAAAGCTTTAAAACTTTATAAAAGCTTTACTAATTTCTTTTCAATATGAGCAATGGGGTTGCAATCTGGTCCAATCTGGAGAGCCTGCATCACTTGGCATTAACTCAGCTCTGGGTGGCCTTTATCCTGCCACCAGACAGGGAGGACAAGGACATCCCTGTCACAGAATATGTGAGGAGAAGGAGAGTAGGAATGAACAAGAGCACTGCCAAGACCTGCCAAGGGAAATGCAGTTACCTGACCCAGCCTGGGCACAGGGAACAGCACAGCCCCATCAGCACCCTCAGTGACCCCAAACAATTAGCCCCTGCTAAGAGAGAGACTCCACTAACTTGCGCCCATGGGTGGTTTGCTCCTTTTGTATCAGGCCCACAGTTCCCACCCACACTGGGTATTTCTGCTGCAGCACACCCTGCTCCACCAGCAAAGCTGAGGACAACCAGCCCCCTGAAAATATGGTGGTGGTCATGTGGATCTTCAGGCTCCCTCCTGGTCCCTGGAGTTAAGTCACATCTTGGATGTCACGATTCAGCTGAGTGATAAGACAGGGCCAATGGATTCCCACAAAACTGCTACAGGCTCATATGGATTATTAATTATGGGATGTGCCCTCAATGCAGGCAGAAGTTCCAGTTGCAACTGGCAACTGAAATCACTTTAAAATCCCTTAATGGGAATAATTGTGTGTCACACAATGTGAATGTGTTCTGGGGCGTCTTCCCTGCGGGGCACGAGTCCCCTGCCAGCTCCAGCATCCCACATACACTCAGCATCTCAGGCTGTGGGGCTCTGAGAGATGCATGTGAGGGTCCCGTGCTCAGCTTGGGTTTGTATGCAAATAGTCACAAATTCTAAAGCTGCTTGAAAACCCTGAAAAGTCTATTTTTCATAACAAATCTGTTTTATAAATAAATGGAAGAGGATTCATTCATGTCAGGAGTCCTACGAGCTGCAATAAAACTAATGGCATGCAGAATACCCTCTTTATTCTGTCTTCCACTGCAAAAGAAGAGCAAATACACACAAAATAAGGTATAAGATGTCTGGGCTGAACCTACTTGTCTGAATCCCTGTCTCTGAAAAGGGGAAGATGCAGCAGTAAGAGGCAGTAGTTGCACAGATGTGAGGATGCAGTTGGGCTTGTGTGACTTTGTCCTTTGCATAAGGTCAACACAAAAAATCAAATATTGCATAACCCAGCTACCCATAGCTTCAGTCCCTCTGGCCAGAGAACTCCTTCTGATCAGCAGACAGAATTCTTTTCTGGACAGGCTGATTCCAACACTGCGTTATTTTTCCTCCCCATCTCCATTTTGAAAATGAAAAAATCAAGCCATTTCAAGAAATGCTCTGCCCCAAAGGAAAACCGGGCACAAGAATCGACTGGTGGGTTTTCAGGCTGCTGTTAATTATCTTTTGAGTCACCCCAGAGCTTGGGATGAGACTCCTTACCCAGGAAGGTGTTGGAAATGTACTCGGACACCTGGTTGCCGGAGCGGCTCATCTCGGAGAGGTGTGTCAGCTCCCGGTTCAGCATCCTCTTGAACTGGGAGGGGAAGAGCACAGACACAAAGGTGGCATTTTACTGCATGCTTTTCCAAACCCGTACAGCTTTATCACGAGCAAGCCCACAAACAAGGTGCTCAAAGCAAAAATCCTGGAGATATCTGCAATGGAGTCAGCGACAACTGGTTTCATTTAGATACTGCTCAGCAGCATCATGACTGGATATTTCTTCCCAGTGCACTGAGCTACAAAATTCATCTCCAGCTACAAAATTCATCTCCAGCTACAAAACTCATCTCCAAAGATGCTTATTAGCTTTTACTGTAACAAATGAGAGGATAATGTTTCAGGTCATCTCACTGAAAGATTGAATTCCTGCACAGGTTTGAAAATCCCACCTCCCATAACCTGCTTTTGTTCTGAATTTGGCAAATTTGCTCCATTTTGAATGATGCAAGGGAGAGACAATTGCCCATCTTCAGAACAGAGCAGAGCAACCGGCCACCGACCTGGAGATCTGCTCGGATCGTTACAGCAACACGCAGGGCTCGAGCGTTTCTTCCCCCCAGATTTACATGCTATAATCCTCCTCATTTTCTAATCACACATTTTCACTGCTGCATCGTTTCATCCTGCACCAGTGAATCCCCAAAGGAGAGGAAAAAAAAGAACCCCATCCATGTACACTGCATGCACAGCCCAGACATGTTCAGCTCTCGCCACGCAGAAATACCCATTTCCAAAGCTCCTCGGGGAGGTTTTACCCGAGCAATGCAGCACAACAACAACAAACAACAAATTGAAATAAAATAAAAGAAAAGCAGCCACGTATCATCCTTCAGGATCGAAACCCACCTTAATGTAACCCCAAGATACAGATAACAAATAGTTTGCTTCAGGCATTTTGGAAAACTCCACGGCACCGTCCGCTAACGCTCCCGGAGAAATCGCAGGTCGGGCAGCAGAGCTCCCGGGGCTCCCAAGCACCCCCTTCCCCAGCCAGGAGAAGAAAATCAGCACTCCTCAAAGCCAGAGATCCCCCAAAGCCCGGCGGTTGCTGATCCCAGACAAAGCCAAGCTTGGCAGAGCATCTTTGCAGAGGGCTGAACGTGGGTGGATTTGCTCGCAGGAGAGAATAATGAAATCGGGGGTTGCACGAAGAAACGAGAACTGATCCGAACGTGTTCAGCTGGGAGCACTTATGAATTATGGATCCTCCTGCTTGCTTAGCTGGCTGAAGGGGGTCCCCACTCCACATCAGCCTTGCTCAGCTGAACTGTGCCACACACACAAAAAAAGGATGATCCTGGCAACACAGCCATCTTTTCCTATAGGGAAGATTAAAATGGAGGAAGCTCTCGGCATATTTAAATGAGTCCAGGGCAGGCAGAAGCCTCCTCTCCATTTCTGCTTTGTTTGAATCCCCTTCTGCACAGAGACTGAGGGTTTTCAAAGCAGGGATTCACGTATGGATTTTAAAAGCATCATTTTTCACATTTTCTATGTGATCATGTCTGGGTTTTCTTTTTTCCCCCTCTACATAATAAAGGGCAAAATGTAGCAAAATGCACCTTTTACAAACTGTCAAGATTTTTCAGGTAAAAGGTATGAACTAATAATAACCTTACATCTGTCACATCAGATCAATACATTCTTTCTCACAAGAGGATATTCACAATCCACGTTTCAAGATTGAATAATGACTTTGACTTCTGCTTCAAACTGAGCTGCAATCACTTCATTAGGCGCCGTAGCTGCCCCTCCAGCTGCTGCTGGGCAGTGCTCACGCTGCTCCAGGACGTCCTTGGTGATTGCTGGATGTCACACGTGGCCAGAAGGCCTAAAATAAAAGTGCAGTCTTTGGTCTAAACTCATTCCCCTTTCTCCAGCTGCCTTCATTAAGTGACATCAGCCTCCCCTGGCATGACATCACGAGGCTTCCTCACGTGCTGCGGGACACGGAGGGCATGGGGGGCAGAGCCTGCAGCTCCCTGCTGGCCCAGGATGCTGGCCCAGCTCTGAGCACCACAAAAATCCCACCTTACTGACCAGGCACGGCTCCAGCCACTGCTCAGCACCACCCAGGTGGGACTCTGCTCAGCCCTCCAGCCATGGGAACCCCAGAGAGCAAATGCAGTTGTGGACCCACCTTCTTCTCTCCTTAAACTCATGATTATCAGAGGTGGAAAGCTGAAACCCACCTCCCTTTTACCACGTGCAGCCCAAAGATGGGGTGCTACCTGCTTGGGCTCTGCCACCACCTCTGCTGTCCTCTCTGGCAGCAACCTGCCTCGCCCTGCCAGTGGGAATGTCACTTTCCAGGTCATTCAACCAGTTCAAACACTGTCTCATGGGATACAAGCAGGAGCAGGATGTGGAGGATGCCATCTCATGGGCTATGGGCAGGAGCAGGATGTGGAGGATGCCATCTCATGGGCTATGGGCAGGATGGGAAAGGCCTTGGCTGGCAGGAGGGCATCCCACACCACCAGGTCACGGGCTTTGCCTCCCAGGGTCTCCACTGCACTTCATGCCCGGAGAGAGGAACAAAAGCCTTCTTGAAACTCCTCAAGAGAAACCTTAATGATGGAGAACAAGTGGCAGCAAGAATGAAAACCAAGTAAGAGAAAGCCCGTGGGAGGAGAGGAGAGCTCTGACCTGACCATTCCTCCCAGTGACGTACTTTGGCTGGTCACAAGCACCAGCCACCAGCACGTGAGCACTCCCACAGCCTCAGAGTGAAGCATGTGCTGAAACATTTCTCTAGATCAAGACCTTTATCTTTCCAAGGAAAACACCATAATCAGATGATCACACAAACAACTTTCAGACAAGGTTGGGTTGTCCACACAACCGCCCTTTCAGGCAAATAATCCCAAGTGGTGGACAAACATCTGAAAAAAATGCCTTTACCTCACTATTGGCTTCATCAAGTGCAAAGGGAAGCTGCTGCTTTTTCACAGAGGCACAGAGCAATTAAATGGCTTCCACAAGGTCACCCAAGCCATCTGCAGCAGAGTTGAGGACAGATAAAAGACCTTGGGATTCTCATATCTGATCTTTAACTAGAAATCCGTGCCCTTCATCTCCTCCAAAAGCCTTAATCTTGCTCACTTTTCCAGGCTTTTAATCAGCCACCTTTTATAAACACAGACAGCAACATTACAGCCCTGCTAAAAGGACTATGGGGGCCAAACCCAGCCCAGACACCCACAGTGCTATGAGAATACCCACAAGCTTTGCAAAGTTTATTGCCATTTACCATCTGAATGCTGCTGGCACCTCAGCGGGATTTACTTAATGACACCATCCCCTTTTAAAAACAACCCTGTTGAGCAGGGAGGGAGCCATGCTGATAGTGCCCTCCCTAATCAGAGCATCCTCACAGCTCCAGGCAAGGCTATTTGGGATTTTTCCTGAGCTTCCCTTGATGTCAGGATGCTCTGGAGCTTCCTGGGAACTGCTGTGCCATTTGCCTACAGGCAGGCAGCGTTGCTTCCTCTGTGTGTGTGTGTGGATCAATGACTGCTGTCATCTGCAAACCTCTCCAGCCACCCCTGCTCCAATCAATTTGACAGCAAAGGGTAAAAATACAGACTACACGTTAGCAGGGAGAAAATGCCAACTGCTCTGCCACTGAGCAAACAGAAACGTTGCTGCCTTAAAGAGCTCGTGCACCTGCGCAGCGCGGCCCTGCTGCTGATGCCTATCAGCAGCACGTGGGTTTCTGCTGTTAATTACATGATTAATAATCACCCCGGCGCCTTTTCAGGGCAAACGAGCCCTGATGACTTTGCTGGGCAGAAGGGAACACGTAGAAATGCGTGTGCACACACCAGGATGCCCACGGGAGGGGACGCCCACCCTGACTCAGGGGGGTTTTTCCCTTCCCAAGCAGCAAAACCAGGCAACGGGCTTGGGGTTCCCTTCTCTCTGCCCCAAACTGGGATCACAGGACCATGCAACAAACACAATTCCACTGATGAAAAGAGTGCAGATAACGTCAAGAAGACGATGCTCCAACTGCAAGCTAACCAGACACACATGGTGGTGCAGCTGACCTCCCCAGCAAGTCACAGAGGTCTAAAACCATCTGGAGGGTTGTGTGAGAAAAAGTCATCCCATCGCCTGGAGTTTTCCTGTTTTGCATGCTCTGAAGTAACTGCAGAAGTCATCTGAACCAAATTAAGTCTCCCAGAAATGGAGTCATTCTTTGGTTACCAGCAGTGACCCTTTCTCATCGACTCTCTGGTAGAGGGAATCACAGATTCTCTCCAGCTTTCCAGCTCATGCGTGCAGCAATTTCCTTGATGACCATTGGGAAAGTTGCCTCCCAGTTCCCTTCCTGGCTGCCCACGCTGCACCCTGGCTGCTCACGTTTTCTCTGCACCAGCAGCTGCACTATTTGCTTGTCCTTCTCCAGCTGCAGCCCAGGGCTGAGCCCTGGACCCAGCACCAGGCTCTGCAAAGACACAACCACAGGGACCTCCTTGGTGCACTGAGCGTGTGGCAGATCCTCCAGCCACTCAGCAGCTGGTCCTTCACCACATCCTAACCAAACACTCTGCAGGGGAAGCTTGCTTGCCTTCTTTTTTTTTTTTTTTGTGAGGAGGGAGAAAAAATGTCCTAATTGATGGTAGGATTTGCCAGGTTTAGGAGCCCAAGCCTGCTGGGAGAGCACTGGCTACGGGGCCACCATGTGTGATATGGGCTGGAGTCCAGGGCAGCATCCAGCTGCACGTGGGATATCACCTGCGTGCTTCAGTGTGGAAAATCCCACCTTCCTGGCTCTGTATGCAAGAAACAACTCTCTTCCTTTTTCCTAGGAAGGTTGGAGAGAGCAACTCAAGAAGCACAAATGCCTTTCCAGCCCCTCACCGGCTCCAGGGATGGTCCTGTTGTTATTCCTGCTCCTATTCCTCTTTGGAGTAGGGCACCAGAGGTGTTCCTGGTGCTTTACAGGGAGAATAAAGACAGGAGGATGTATCTGCTGCTGATGTAAAGCCTTTGAAGTCGATTTATACCAGCTGGGGTTCCCTGAGGCCAAGAGTCCTTATGCAAAGAGGCTGCTTAAAAACGTTGTAGTCATTGGCAGGAGCTGAGGGCAATTTCAAGATAAAAGAGCTGCTAAGAGGCTGTGGGGCTCCGGAGTATCGAGGGAGAGTGGGGTCCCACCCCACACTTTGATGGAGGAATCTCGGTGCAGATCTCCAGTGTCTAAAAATGTTTATAAACTCTGTTCCCGGAGACCCACCCTTCTGACGCAAACATGACATCCCAGGCTCCTCCACCACTCCTAGAAATCCTCAGAACAAAAGGATTTGTGGTACCAGGGCTGCCTTCCCCTTTGATTTCCAGGCAGAGGCAGCTGGGTTGAATCCTGCTCAGCCTAATTGCCCAGGTAAATCACTTCAGCTCCAGAGGTGCAATTAAACTTTGGTGGAACTCCATTCATTTCACCAGCAATTCTCCTGGGAACAACTGGACGCTCAGCATGGGGAGCTGGAAAAAGCTGACACTCACCTGTTTGTGTGACAGAGCCAGATACCAGCCAGAAACTATTTACACACAGGAGGGAAGTTACTCATGCATGTACACGGCAACCAGGTCAGACAACAAACGTGTAACACGATTGTCTGGACCTCTGGTCACTCAAAGGGAATGGATGTGACACTCGTGCTACTGCAGAGTTTGAAAGATCAAATATTAATCTAATGGCCTGTGTTTGAGAAGCTAGTGATGGGTAATGGAGTAACACTGGAGGAGGGGAGATTTAGGTTGGACATTGGGAAGAAATTCTTTGCTGTGAGGGGGGTGAGACCCTGGGACAGGCTGCCTAGAGAAGCTGTGGCTGCCCCATCCCTGGCAGGGTTGAAGGGCAGGTTGGATGGGGCTTGGAGCAGCCTGGGCTGGTGGGAGGTGTCCCTGCCCATGCAGGGAGTTGGGACTGGGTGGCCTTT